CAAGCTTACTCGGGTGGGACTCGAACCCAAGACCTCCTGGTCCAAAAATACATCTTGAAAATTTAAAAATAATCACAGAGATCTATTTTTATGTACGTGCAGCGGGTGCTGTACTAGTGTAAACAAATCCGTTGCTGGGGATGTTTTGAAGAAAAAAGTGACGGAAGCAAAGGGCGATGCATTAACCTTCAAATTTTTTGACCATCAAATCCCTTCATAAGATTGATTCACATGGGTGGAATGCTTGGGAGGGCAAGGCTCAATGAGAACGTGAGAATAATTTGAATTTGAGAGAGTGTTTCTTGGCGGAACTGGAGCTGTCAGGTCTTTGCTGCGTAAAGTGGTGCAGTGTTATATTCCAGTACATGAAAAGTCCCTTCAAGTCCATCACAAGTCAAGTCTTTAGCCAATTCACTGGCTATTCAAATGAGATGTGACAAAAGCATTGCTTTGTCATTGTTCACCCTTTTACTTATGACTGGCCTTGTGAGGGGACTTGTGATTGGACTTGTGATTGGACTTGTGATTGGACTTGTGACTGGACTTGTGATGGGACTTGTGAAAGGACTTGTAATGGACTCGAATACAACACTGATTTCCTGACCGAGGCTAGTTTTGAAGAGCCCTGAATGATGCTGTGTTGAGCACTAGCAGAAAGGCTGTCATACCTAATGCACCTACTGTACTTGAGCTGAGTACTGACCTTCTTGAGCTGAGAATAAAACATGCCCTGGCCTCCTGAGGGCACTGTTTACCTTAACTGGTTCCCATTTGGAAGAGAAAAAGAATGAAAAGAAAAAAAAATACCCAGGGTTTGACCAATTTATCCCACTAGAGGGCTCCAGTGCACTTACATCAAACATCAGAGCATGAGGTTGACACAGCTGATCACAATCTGCTGCCTGTAATGGGATACATGTACAAGCATGTTTATGATACCGCAGTGCATTGTAGGGTCATATGGGGGCTGTAAAAACCGGAGTTGACGAAGGCACTTCTGATTCAGTGCAAACAATGCGGGCAGTACAGTGCGGTACAGGAAAAAGAAATTAATGTATACGTGCCCTACGTTCTGGCCTGAAGAGACACGATAGTGTCTTTTAATTGTTGGAGAGCCTGACTTGCCACGCAGACCGACACTGCATGGTGGCCTGTCATTCCTGCACCCTTTGCTCTGATCAAGCTGTTTGTTTTGGAACATGGCTGATCATCTACCGCAGGTCTGTGCCTTTTCCATGTATACCAGGAGCTTTCTTACACAAGGATAGGAATTGGCTGATGTACTCTGCAGTTTCCAAGTTTGGTAGTGAGGGGGAATGTCGACAAATACATGTATAGGCTGGTATTCACTCTACACTCGGGAAAAGCTGTGCTCATAAGGGAAGTACTGGGGCGGTGGTTTTCTTACAGTAGCTAGCAAGGTGCCATACTCGTACACCTACCATTTTGATGGATGTTCCCAGTGTACAGTGAGGGCAGGCTTATGATTTGTGCATCGGTTCTTCACCAGGTCTTTGTTCAAGGTGGCATTGTCTGTCGGCCGCTCACGTCATTTGTATCGGTTGAGATCCTATCTGGTGACTTGATCTGATATTGTATGCATGGTCTTTTTCTCTTGTTTTTGCGCTCTCAGGATAGAGATCGCGTGACGCCCAAGATCCACCTGCAGGAATCGGTTGAAGAGCTGAAAAGATTCAACTCTCGCCGTAAACTGAAGGTAGAGATAACAGTATTCACACCTGCTCTTTGTAACCATGTTACCTTTGACATTCACTGTACAACCTCTTGCTGTCAATAATTGCAAGGAAGTAAGCAACGGAGATTTTTTAAAGAGAGGACGGAGATCGGATATAGCAGGGGTTTTTTTTTACATTGGACTAGAGCCCCAAACAGGTGCCTCGGAAAACCTAATGAAAATTCATTAGAGGATACCGTTTGTGGAATAAGTTACAATTTCATGAGCAACTGGCCAGTTATTTTGTGCAAGTAAAGTAAGTTTGCCTAAAGGATGACCATCTCACACGGTGTTGGATTGTCTGGTGTTTTTTGTCCTCAGGGCGCTGTTCTAGCTGCCGTTGCCAGCGCTAAGTTCACCAGTTTCTACAGCGATCCCAACACCAAACATATCACAGACTTTGCAGACGAAGACCCAACATCGTCAGGTGAGAGAGCAGTACGATTCTTACCTTGCACAGAATATGCCAACTCCAAGGCAGAGTTGTAACATACAACTACTGACTGGCCTTTAAGGCACTAGTGCATGTATATACACACCCCAAGAGGCTGATATTAATATATTGTACGTGGCTATAGTTGGATGTGCATTACTATCCACATTGTGGCTGTGTCTGCATGATGTGGCTATGGTTTCAATTAACGCATACATCAATGACTAGCCACTGCCTAGTGACTGCAGCGGCTTTCCATAGACCTGTGTTACTCCCAGCCTCTGGCAGTCCATTTGGACTTTGCCCCGATAGAGGCTTGGCTGTCACTCAACTCAAGAAATACCGGTAATATGTGTCCATAGACTTTATGCATGTGTGTATATGGCATGGCTGTGTTCTAGCATTAGGGCTCATAGTCGGAGATGTGCTGTAATGCTGTTGGTGTGGTTTGCTGTAGGGGCTGTCGCCCAAGTCTTGGACAGCTTAGAGGAGATTCAGTGTCTGACGGACTGCGACGAGAAGGACCTGGACTTCCTCCACGGGATCTTTGAGGACAACCAGCTCCACTCTCTGCTCAATGTGAGTCACACCTTCTTTGTTCTCACTCGTATAAGGCTTTACTCGTTTCTGTTAGTCTTTTAGAAAATGCCTCTCAACCTTTCCTCCGGTAATGCCGTAATTAGCTTCATGCATGTGGCAGTTTGACACAATTGTGACATTGTCAGGAATCCATTTGAACTGGGTTGGCGTTAACCTCCTTCAGTGTTCAAAGTTATTCAGGTAACAACTGGCCAAGGGTTGTCATGATCACTGCTGGACAAGTTTCCGAGATTACAATGGTACAAACAGTAATGGGTGACCACCCCAAGAAATAAATGGACCTATCACCTCAGAAAGATTTTACTCTAAAGATTTGTTGCTTCTGGCTTAAGCCTTACAAGCATTTACATGAAGCTATCTGTGCTCTTGTTCAAGCTGGACAGATGAAATTAAGTGGTTTAATGCTCCTTAATTAGCCCCGGTTTTGACAATTTTTACATAAATTGGACATTAACTGTACTCTCAGATTTGGTACAATGTACATGTGTCACATTCCAAAAGAACAGCTGACAATGTCTGCTAGTGGCCAACAGAGGGCGCTGTGTATACACTCTGTTGTCCTGCAGAAGGTTGGACAAAAGTACATAGACGCCTTTTTCAGTTCTTCAAAGTGTCCTCGGGGGTTCAATAGTCCAGACATCACCTCTATCCACATCAATCAGCAAACTGCACGTTCTAAATGTAGTTAAAATTTCACCACATCCTAAGGGAAAACACATGAGTGACGAAAAACGTTCCTGTGGGTTGTGGAGGCAAGTGCACCTGTATGTTCCTTCATGGACTTTGGGAGTTCAAAGTCGAGCTTGTGTGCATGCATTCTGATGTATGAGCTTAGCCAGTTGATTATTACCAAAATGTAAGATCAGGGTTAAACTTTTACCACTTGCCAGGGGAAATACATTTACTATAAAAACCATGCCTGGAGAGAGTGTTACGCTTCTCGTTGATACTGAAATTTGAGTCTGACTTGTGTCTCTTCTGCCCATTCTGCAACACCATCTTGGTCACCTGGTCGTCGTGGAAATGACAAATCATGGGTTAAACTTGGTCCATCTCCTAGGAGAACTGTTGATTAGTCCAACATGTACCGCTCCCAGATCCTTCAAAATCCTTTGGAAATTTTTAATGGATTTTGTAAGATTTAGGAAGGTAGATCCTTGCCACCACCACTTTTAATGCATGGGGCATACTAATGCTTGAATGTTGAAGTACAATGTGCCATTGGTTTCTTTCATGTTAGAGTGTATGTAAATAGTTACTTTCTGGAAAGTTTCTCGCAGATAATCCCCTGGAAGGCATGATGTCTGTGATTAAAATATGCCAATTTTTACCCCTCTCACTAATGATTATCTCAAGTCATACAAAAATGTGGGAATATGGGCAGTTCTACTCATCTCATGAAGCTTTTACCACAAACAAGCAGGTGTAATAAATTTCTCTTAGCCCTAACCCCCTTACTAGAGTGTATGTACAATCAAATTGGAGGATTTGGGACTGTTAAGTGCTATTCCGAAACTCTAAACCTTCCCTTGCTACTTTTTTCTGCTTAATTACATGTAAACGGATCCACTGGCAAAACTCAAAGCTTTCCTAAAGTATTTCCGAAGCCCAGCATTGTGAAAGGTGTGCCGGATTGGTCAGTTTGTCATCTTGCTTGTTATTATATGCCAGAGATAACCCTATTGTCATGCAACGGAACAAGGTCACTTGGTAGGGAGAGATGGGGTGATCACTACTCTACATACAATGGGCCTTGTGCCAATCACTACTGATCAAATTTATGAGGGGGGCTGACAGGCAGGTCGTGATTACACCTTTTGTGTTCACAGTGTCTCTGCACATATTTGCTGGATGTACACCTTACCTACACATTACATTTGTACATTTAGTGCAGCATTTAGGTTGACAATGGGTGACTCCTTTTTGTGAGGGTCATAACGGTAATGATCCCGCGATTGGATATTGTGGCATGGTAATCATGAAAATACTAATGAAGTGTTGCTTTAAGTGCACATTCCCACCAGCAATGGTGTCCAGACACTGTACATCATGATCATCATCCTTGCTTAGCTGGAGGTGCCCGAGCCCACCTCGGCTCCCTGAGGAGTATACTCTTTGGTGTAGCAGTGTTAGCCACTCTCCCTGCATTTTGGCTGAAGAAAATGTAGGAAAGACAGTTCAAGGACTACAGAGAGCGAGGCTCCTTGAATGCAAGCCCCTCCTGTAACTGGGATCAGTTTCAAACAACTTGAAGTGTAGTTTCTTTTCACCAGGTTTTCGTGGAAGTCTTTCATCTGAGGACTAATTTATTTTCTAGGGCGAACCGTGCAGTGTACTTTGAGTTTACGTTAGCCTGGCCTGAAATTGAAATGATTAATTTCGAAGCGGACAAAAACTAGCGAGAACCTTGAGGCTCGTTCGTACAATTTAATGTTTTCAATTTAACTGCCAGGAGAATGTTCTTCATGGCAATGGTGAAGTGGTAGATTGATTGAAACGAGTGCTGTCACTGTCTTGAAATTCATTTTGCCCGTGTCCTTACAATGGATCTAAATGTCACGTCCCGTTTCATGAGAGCGTGTACTTTGACATCATCTCGTATGTACAGCTTCGCTTCAATTGGCTGCGGTAGGTTTTTTGGATGATTTCTCTCACCCAATTTGTAACCTTTTTCTCAGTTCACACCCACGTGTCCAGTGGATGAAAAGGAATGTAGCATTTCCTTCCTGGGGAAGTTCATTCGGTTCTGTTTCTTTGTGCATTGTATTTTAATTCGACCCATCTGTGGCTTGTGTGACTCACAGGCTTGGATAATAAAGAGTCGGGTGATATCTTTCTCTTGGAAGAATAGATGGATTCCTGTAAATAGAGTAGCATTTTTGATTTGGGGTTTTTATGTTTTTATATTTTTGTGATAGAAAAAAAAAAGCTATATTTTTTGCTTTCTTCAAGATGAGTTGCATGTGTGCGGCAGATCGAATCGGATGATTTTTTTTGCTAGTGTTTGTTGTGCCAACTCGTATGCCCAATTTTGTAGAGGCACTGATAATATTTTGATTTTTTTGCGGAAAATTCATAACACCAGTCTTTGCGTGTGGGATGTCGTGCGTCTTTACTGCGGGAGGCATTTCCTGCTAGTTCCGGGAGCGGCCCTCAATCAATATCACACGCTAATTGGCCCCCACTGTCCACTGCTCCTTTGTAATCATCCCACCCCCTTGGCGGTAATGGATCGTTCCACCTGCTGTTCTTCCCCCGGGGGGGACCGTATCTCATATCTACCCCACCACAACATCGGGGACATCCCTTGATGTCTCAATAGAAACTTACACCTCCCGTCGTCCTTTGCAGCTCGCAGTAATCTATCCGCCACATGGCTTTTTTTTTCCCTTCTCTTCCCTCCTCTGTGTTTACACATATCACACGCACGCTGCTTACAGCGGCAGTGTGCACAGTCATGCAAGTGCACGCTTCGACTCGTTGAATTTGTCACCCGGTGAACTATTTTGTGAGTGCATGTGGGTGTGTATGGAAGCTCAACAGTACAGACTGTCTAGTGTACATGTATAGGGCAAGTGATTGAATGCAGATGGGCCTTGTTCATCAGAGGATTTAATGATGCCGTTCTTCGAGCGAACGTGGTGTTGCATTTATGCCAGTGCATTTGTATACCCGCTCCAGATTTTGCGATTGGGCGATGGCTGTTGTGGTGCTGACATTGTTTGGATTCGGTCGGTGGGGATGCCGTCCATCTTGGAATTTCAGTTCAGATTGATGCAGTTGCGATAAAGTGATTGCTTCACCTAAAGCAGGGTATCTCTTGGAATTGCATGGAAAGGAAACCTCGTTAGCTGTTCATAGCTGCAAGGGTCACTGGTATGCCAAGCCTTTGTGCAGGTGATAACACCGGACCTCATTCATGAGTGCGTCCAGTCGACAAGCAAGTTGCAATAGCGCAACGTGGCTGCAACCATCTGCCCTGTGCCGGGGCCCTGTCAATCTCATTAATCGGACAGACTGATGACCAGTAACAGCGGCTTGTTACTGTCTGACTGTCAGAGCTAATGGTTTCATCTCGTTAGTTGTCGTGCTCCGTCATCCCCACCACAGCGGAGGAAAGAAAAAAAAAGCAAGATGGGTCACCGGTGGTTCCGGAGCACCATCCAGTGGGAACGGACGCTAATTGGACAGATGAAGACGGATTAGGCAACAGTGCAAAGCCCTGTGTCAAAAGCATCACGAGAGCCGGTGCTACATTGCCATCACTGCCCCTCCGCACCGGCTTACATCCTGTCGGGCCTCTCCCAAAACTGTCGGGGACATTTCGCCCGCTGTAATTGAATATGACCCAACAACTTTCCACATTTGCAGGGCAGGAAATGAGATTTCTCTTTTGGCAGAGATGACTGTTGTTTCTTCTATTAAACCCGTTCACTTGTCTCCATTGCATCCCTTTGTGAGACAGTTAGGACCAAATTTCTGTGTGTCCTTATCTTCCCGTGGGTGCCCAAGCACTGCACCGACGTTCACACAGTGAACTGGAAGTTCTCACATGCATTGCACATTCAGTGTTCAACAGTTGCTGTGCTTGTGTCTACAAATAATCGTTTACTAAAGAGACAAGATAAGATAAAAAGGGACGGACGGCTGCATGTGTTGGAGATAACCCGCCCTTTTCCCAGTGTGGATGATTACCCTGTGCTGGAGGATCGAGGAATGCTTGATGCAACATATTCTCAGCAACTGCAGAGAATCAGAAGGTTGAATTTTGCGAGCGGACAACTTTTCTCATTTGACAGCAGTTGGTGTCGTTACAGCGAACGGTCTTCCCACACCACACATGCTGCCCATCGCTTGATTTGGCTCAGCCAACTCCCCTAATCGTCTGCCTCGTCTGCAGTAGCAGAAAAAGGATCCTCTCGGTCGGCCGAAGGGAGGTCGTTTTCCCTTTCCTTTTGCCATGGTCGTCGGAAGCCTGG